CCAAAATGTGATGTCCACATATGTGGACGCCAGGTCCTAGGAGGTTAATAAAGTTCTAAATGAGTCACAGCACCTGAGCCGGTTATACATAGGTGTGTCACACGTCACCACTGAAACTATGTAACACATCACAGTTGTAAAATGTTATAACAGTTAGGTGTGGTCAAATGTGAGCATGACACTGCATTGCACAAATCTGCTAATATCTAACTAAAGAATGTAAATGAAATTTTATTTCCAATAATCCTGCTACAGATAGATTATTACTCTCATCCTTGAGTATTATGTGTCCAGAGCAGAAGGTTCTGGAAAAACCTTCACTTATTCCAAGTTGTATGCAGTAGAGAGACATTTCTTAATAATACTTTATGCAATACTTGAACACAGCTTTGGTACCACACTAACAAATCTCAGCTTGCATTTTCAACAGACGTGTTCTAAGGGCTGTTGGGGGCTTAAGACTTGGTGTTAGGATGTTGGTACAGTAAGAAGAACCATCTTTTTCTGCATCCTATATTCATGGTGCACAGTCCTCACTGCTTCAGATGACTGCTTTTCCCAGACGTGGGTTAAGCCTAGTCTTTTACAAAAAAACTTTTTCTCATTGGAAATCTTCACCTAATTGTACTATAAGATTTGCTCTTTGGGTTGGATGCAAGTCTAGGAAACTGGCTGAATAAGAAAAGCCATCCATCCATTACTTTCTGCTAAATAAGTGGATAAAACAATTGTTTTTCTTGCACGTGGTAGAGTTGGGTGTTTTGTTTTTTCAAGATGAGACAGGCCCTAAATATCCATGTGAAAAGACACTTTCAATTTGCTCAATTTAGTCAGGAATTCAATGTAGACTAGGTCTAATTTGAACCAAAGAAGCCTAAATGGTTCAGACTGTAATGCCACTATCAAATATAAGTGTGAAAATCAGATTTTTTTTAAACATTCCACTCATAGTTTACTAGAGGTGTGCTTTTGTTTAGTTTTCACAGTCGTGATGATACTCAGAATGGATCGACGCTGAGCAATTCTCACCTACCCACTCCCCTGATCCGCCCACAATGCGCAGAGTACTGTGAGTGCACCCCTGTTTGTATTGGTAATACTTACTCAGAATAACACCCAGTAAGGCTGCTCTTTTCTAAAAATACTTTTTAAGTTTAGTTAAAGTTTCGACCTATAGTAGCTGCACTGACAGCTGAGGGCGGGGCACACCTTTTTTTTTTCCTTTACGCACACCTGGTTTCAGGAAGTAACCTCTACGTCAGCGGGAGAGGTGTTTGAAGGAATGGCTCAGGAATTCAACACAAAAATCTTGCTCAACTGGACAGGTGATCAGCAGACATATATCTCTCTCACCGAGGGCACCACGTCGGCAGAAGCTTTAAATCTCGTCCGTGGAAAAGCACAGAGAGACTGAACTTTTCTGGGGGCGATCAGATTGAAGGATATTATTTTTCTTTTTCCTCTTTAAGAAGAAAGGCTTCTTTTAAAACAGACGAACATGTCTCGGGTTTCGAATATTTTACCCGATGAGGCGGTCTTTGTTGACTTCAAAAAACAGTGTTTAGCAACCGACAACTGGCAAAATAAGTATGACAACAATGGGATGCAAGTGTGGATCGAGGTGCGCGCTGTGAATAAAGGAAATCACGTACCTAAAGTCCACAAGATGAAGGTGAGTTTGCTTTAGCACCAAATCTAAAAACTATAATACCTTTTGAAAAATAAATCAGTTTTATTAGGCTGTCGTGCTATGTGGGTGGTGTCCTGTAACCATCTGTATGTTTTCCTCAGTGTAAAATGATAGTTAATGATGTGTCAGCTGCTACCATGTTCGACGTCCTTCACGACAGCCGGTACCGCAAGAAGTGGGATGTAACTATGCAGGAGAGTTTTGACATTGCCCGGCTCTCTGCTAATGCTGATGTGGGCTACTACTCATGTGAGTGAGCACTCTTATCACTTGCAATGCTCTGTGTGTGTTTGTGGTTTGGTGTGGGCCTGATTAGATGTGAGATCTTGTGTTTGCTGATACAATAACT